AATTTAATTTTTCTAAAGAGTCCTGGATTGTCAAAGAATCTCCCGTGTGTGGTTTTGCGCATGTTCTGACCGCCAAGCACTGACCGAGGCCACAGTCTTCACTTGTGAGGCCAAGTGTCTTCCATTTCACCCTCAGGCACTTAGCAAGCTGCCTCCGAAGACCCTATCGGCATTTTAATTCGTATTTTTTCTACATACCCCAGAGTAGAATTAGTTTCCTTAGGGAATTTGAATGTCCAGATATGATGGGATACTCTAAGAACAATTAGTGAAAGTTTGTGTTGTTTTGCTGTGGGATATTCCATAAGACGTGCAGAAAGACCCAGAACTCGGTGACATTCTGTCTTTCATGTTTTAAATTGGGTAGATGAGAGAGAGCCTCAGATGAGAAGCTCTCAGGGCAGCTTTCCGTGAAGAGGGGTGGAGTGGAGGGAGGTCTGGAGAAGGGGTAACGACCAGGAACCTGGCGGTCCTGCAGCATGGAACCCGAAGGTGCGGAACCGGAACCTGACAGCAGGGGACCGGATCCCGACAGCACAGAACCGGAACCTGACGGCACAGAACCAGAACCTGATGGCACAGAAACCGATGGCATAAAACCGGAACCTGACAGCATGGAACCGGAAACTGACAGCACGGGACCGGAACCTGACAGCACTGAACCGGAACCTGACGGCACAGAACCAGAACCTGATGGCACAGAAACCGATGGCATAAAACCGGAACCTGACAGCATGGAACCGGAAACTGACAGCACGGGACCGGAACCTGACAGCACGGAACCGGAACCTCACGGCACAGAACCAGAACTTGATGGCACAGAAACTGATGGCATGGGACCGGAACCTGACAGCATGGAACCGGAACCTCACGGCACAGAACCAGAACCTGATGGCACAGAAACCGATGGCATGGGACCCGAACCTCACAGCACAGAACCGGAACCAACTGCACAGAGCCAGAACCTGACGGCACAGAACTTGCACGGAACCTGACTGCACGGAACCAGAACCTGACGGCACAGAACCCTACGGCACCGAACCTGCACAGAATCTACGTCAGCACAGAACACGATGGTTTGGAACCCAGGAGACACAGGAGGAGACTGGAGCAGGAGCTCAGGCAGGAGAACCTTCCTTGTCCTGGACAAGGGCATCCTCTCTCCCTGTGGACTACGATGGGGATTTAACTCCCGCATTTGGAGTGAGAAGCCTGGGGGCCGGGCCCACTCGACTCTGAATGAGGTGTGGCTGTCTGCTTGGTGGAATGAGTGTAGTGGTGAAGGCTGGGGCCGTCGCATGAGGAGTGAGTGGGGAAGACCAGAGATGACCTTTGCTGAGCACATTCTCTGTTTTAGGTATGGAAATTTAATTGATTTAATCTTCTCAGTATGCCACTGAGGTAAGTACTACAATTATTCTGGTCTTACAAATGAGGGAACTGAATATTAAAGGTGAAGGGAAGTTCAGCCTGCACCTCTGCCATCAAGAGGGCCAGGCCACCACGTGGGTGGTCTGTCCTAAGCCCACGCCGCAGCTTCTCACTGAATCTGAAGACACATAGCCTAATGTGTTTCACGAAGAGGAGGAGGAGGATTTGTAGTGAGTATGTAGCAGGTTGGAGCTGGAACGAAGGGGTTGAGTTGGAGAATGTGGAAAATTCAAGGATTCAAAGAGCAAGTGCAGCACCAGACTGAATGAGGATGCTTAGAAGGGCAGACATCAGAAGTCAGTGCTTTAGGGCTCACACAGAGATGGCAGAAGCTAAATTAAAGTCAATGCCAGTGGACTTGAGAAAGACAAGATTAGGAGGCCCAGTGGGACATGCGTATGGCTCCTGATGTTTTGATGAGAACAGCAGGAGTTACACAGAAAGGAAGTGTGAGAAAGCATCCGTTGTTCCCTGGAAAGGTGATGGGGCTGCAGAGTGTTCAAGGTGAGCCCCAAAGGGGTCAGGTCCTTGAACCTTATTGTTTAGAAATAGAAACTGGCACTGAGAGATGTGGGCCAGGCCCTGAGGCAGAAGGAGATTTGGGAACTCTGTGCCTCAGAATTCACTAATTGCAGGATGTGGGGCTCCTGCAATCAAGGTGAGCAGAGGCCAGGGGCAGGGGCTGTGAAAACATCAGGGGTAGAGGCAGTTTCCTTATCCTGAGTAGAAATCTCAGCAGGCCCAGTGACCAGGGCGAGGGAGGAAGCACAAGTCCATGTGAGGAGAGCTGTGCCAGAGGATACCGGGGTTCATGTTTCACCAGCCAGCTGAGGATCTCATGGGCGAGAGTTGCAGGTAAAGTGGGAAGCCCTCCTGTCCGGGGGCAGCAAGCTGAGAGTGTGTCCTCTTCTCTTTGGAGGGTGAGATTCCCAGAACACCAGGAAATGACAGTGGCTATTGGAATTTCTTACTCCAGATGGCCTGGGAGAAGCTAAGACCTGAGGCTCCACATGGCAGAAGCCACCTTTTTAAGGTTGGCTGTGTTGCTGCGCTCGCAACATGGCTGGAGGAGGGACTGGCTCCTGGATGTTAGGACCCCAATCTCAGGTGACACACAGTGCTTGTGTGGGCTGGGAGGCTCCAGGCTTGGAGCAATGTCTCCATGTAAGCCCAGACAGCTGGAAAAAGTGCATAGTTTGCATTTCTCAAAGTACTTTCCAAGCTTGGCCAGCGGTCCTGGAGAGAAGGAAGCAAAAGGCATTTTTAGAGCAGGAACACTGGAGTTCAGAGAGGTTCAGTTTCTTGCCTGAGGCCATGGAGGTATTTAACAATGCAAAGCCAGACTCCATATCCATACAAACCCTGTTATCTTTGTATCATACCATCTGACTCTCTCAAGAGGAATTAAATGGAAATCCTATCACTCAAAGTAATGAATGCCTTCACCATATACCAGTTTTCAAGAAAAAAAGAAAAAAAGATTTCTTAGGGCTCCACAATGTATTTCTTTTAATGAAATCTATGTAGGTTTAAGAGGGTTTTCCTTTCACAGACTCTGCAAAGGTATTAGGTGAAAGTTGAGAAAGATCATTTGGGATATAGATGCGCTCCTCTAACCTGAGTTCCTTCCATAGCAATGACTCGGTCTAACGTTCCTGGTGAACAGGACCAGAGCAAATGTTGGAAGGGCCTGGTTTATTCATGAGCTTGCAAATATGTCAGACTCCAGAGCCCATGAACAACTGTACAGACACGTGAAGAGTCATTCAGCCTAAGTCAGCAAACTCTGAACAAGAACCCTGTAGAAACCAACACTCGCATCTTGTGTATTCAGGGGAAAAAACAAAACCAGAATAGATGAAGGAGCTCCCTTTACCTCACCAGCTCCAGGAATTATACTGCAAATGATGCACAAGCATGTGCATGCACACACACACACACACACACACACACACACACACATTGCTGAATCAACAGAAGCTGCTCAGCTTTGGTATACATAATTGGGAAAACACGATTCAGTTTTTAAAAATAAGTGAAAACAGAGGATATCACTAACTTCCCACAGTTCTACAGATTTCTGTTCCTGAAAAGGACAGGTAAGTTACACGATTTTTATTTTATGCAGGCATTTCTTAGTATACAGCAAGTTACAATACACTTTTAGAAATGGATTCCTTAGATTGTGTGTGTGAGACAGGTCCACAGCTGTTGCCCCTGGGCCGGTCCAGCCTCCATGCCCCAGGCCATGCTCATGTGGGGACTCAGACCTTCCTCCTTTCCAGGCTTCCAGGTGCTGCAACCGCGAATAGCTGTGACAGAGACAGTGTGACAAACCGAGTCTAAAACAGTCACTATCTGGACATTTACAGAGAATCCCACTGAGCCCTGACCAAAAGGACACAATTGTTATACAAAAGGCAGTGAGAAGGGACCAGGCTTCCCACTAGAGAATCTAGTCTATCTAGATCATCATGGGCTGGCATGCAGCTGATTGAAATCAAATATGCAATCAAATTTTTGTCCATGTATAAAGAGTGGGATCCAATACAGGAGCTGGGGAAAATTTCAGAGGGAACCAATAACAGAGCCCAGAGCTCCCCCAAAGCCAGGCTGATGACAAGGAGGTGTGGCAGTGACGCAGCACTGACAAGGCCGGTTCATGTGGTGGAAGCAACCAGGCACACATGAGAAATGGCAGCACGGGGGAAACTGAGGCCAAGACTTCCATGGGAAGCTGGTGCAGGACCACACCAGAGAAATTGAGGCCAAGACTTTCATGCAGAACTGGCCCAGGACCACACGGATACTCTGAGACTGAACGCTGCACGCCTGAGCCCCTGCAGAGGCCCTGCCTGTACAATAGCAGGAGCTCTGACCTGTGCGGTGCGTCAGGAAGGGAAATCTGGAGGTGTGCTTATGCAGAGCCCAGGCCCAGCCACTCTTTCCTGCAGGGGCTCATGTCAGGCACAAGGAGCCAAGGCTAAGGGTGCACAGCACACCATGGGCCATGGTAGCAAAAATGTAGGCAGGCCAGTGTTCATGGGCAAGGACATAGATGAAAATGGTGAGTGACAGAGAGTGCAGTGTCACAAGGCAGCGAACAAAGAATGACCTGTACTCACCTGTGCCTGTTCGCATGTGGGGACATGTAAATTTACCCACAGCAATGTAGTTGTAAGTATACATATGTAACTCTTAGTTTTAAGTCAACTTCTTGCATGTATAGTAAAAGCATAAAGCACTTTATAAAGCGGGTACTTACCAACTTTACATTAGAGCAATTATCTCTGGAGAAAGGATGGTGGGAATGTAATTGGGGGAGTTTATGTGAATATCATGTTGCTTTGTTTTATTTTCTTAAAAAGATCAGAAGAAAACATGTTAAATTTTCAGGTGTGCCTTTTTCCAAGCAACTGGCAAATTACTATAAAATTATTCTCTGTACTTTTTGGAGTGGTAAAAATATTCTCTACATAAAAAGCGAAAATATGTATTAAACTTGATTGAGTTTCCAGATATATAGTAATCTGTTTTCTTGTCACAGTTGTATAGTTTTCTGACTGATTTTACTTTATCTTGCATTTTGCCTGGACCTAATTTCTACTGGTAACAAGCCATTTTTATGCCTTTTGGAAGATCCTCTAAGCACTAGCTAGTGTGCCAAAATCACAGAAAACTTCATCATTATATGCAACAGAGGTACGTGAGGGTCGTGAGCCAATGTCTAAGGGCAGGTAAATCAGGGGGCACCGCCTATTCCATAGTGAGGCACTTAGCAGTTGACTTGTTAGATTAATAGTTTCTCAGCATGCGTGTGTGTCGTAAGTGGTATCTGTGGTATGGTGTGTGTAGCTGTGATATTTGTAGTGTGGGGTGTGTGTGGTTTATGCGGTGTGGTGTGTGTGATGTGTGTGGTTTTTGTGGTGTGTGATGTATGTGATGTGTGGTGTGTATGGTTTTTGTGGTGTGTGTGGGGTGTGATGTGTGTGATGTGTATGGTGGGTATGATGTGTGTAAGTGTGTGCAGTGTGTATTGCATGTGATGTCTGTGTTGGGTGGTATGTGGTGTGTGTGTGATGTGTGATGTTTGGTGTGTGGTGTGTGATTTGTGAGGTATGTGATGTCTGCTGTATGTGCTATGTGATGTGTGCATGTGATGTATGTGTTGTGTGTGGTGTATGGTGTGTGTGGCGTGTAATGTCTGTGGTGTGTGGTGTGTGTGGTGTTTGGTCTGTGTGATGTGTGTGGTGTGATGTGTGGTGTGATGTGTGTGGTGTGTGCTATGTGAGATGTGGGGTGTGTGGTGTGCATGATGTATGGTGTGTGTGATGTGTGGTGTATGTGATAAGTGTGCTGTGTGGTGTGTGTACAGTGTGGTGTGTGGCGTGTGATGTCTGTGGTATGTGGTATATAATGTGTGTGGTGTGTGGTGTGTGGTGTGTATGTATTGTGTTTGTGGTGTGTGTGGTGTGGGGTGTATAGTGTGTGTGGCATGTAGTATGTGTGATATGTGGTGTTTGGTGTGACGTGGTGTGTCATTATGTGTGGTATGTGATGTGTTTGTTGTGTGTTTGGTGTGGAGGGTGTGGTGTGTGTGATATGTGGTCTGTGGTGTGTGGTGTGTCTGGGATGTGTGGTGTATTTGGGGTGTAGTGTATGATGAATGGTGTGATGTGTGATACATGTGGTGTGTGTAGTGTGTGTGGTGTGTGATATGTGTTGTGTCTGGTGTGTGTTTAACAGATTAGCATGAAAGCATGCTTGTAACAGACTCAGGAGACCTGCTGGCACTGGTGCAGCCGAGGTGAATTAGATAAATGTTGGGTTGACTTGGGCACATGGAGAAACAACTCCATTAGCTTCTTGCTAATGTGAACTCAGAGTTCTGAGACTGAAGTGCAGCCTGGAGGCCACACCCTGGGGATTTAGAAGGGAAGGAGAGCAGGGAACAGAGAGTTGAGACTGAAAGCATGTGGTTCAGGCCAAACAGGTATGAGGAGCTCAGCAGGTGGGCAGGAGCCCCCAAATTGAAGCACAGGTGAAGAGGAGGCAGCTGGGAGCAGGGCTCCCATGGGGACATAGAAATGCACTGCAGGGCCCCAGGAAACCTGCAATGCAGGGATGGATGTGGCACTGGTGTGAGCAGACCTGGCCCTTCAAAGAAGGGCAGGGAGGGGGTGACTCACAGACACAACGGTGTGACCCATGAGGCCATCAGAGCCTGATGACCTGAGAGAGGTGACACCTATGGAAAAAGGCCGCACTGCAGAAACGCAGCCCAACACATTTCAGTAAGTGATGGGGATTTTGTTGTTTCTTATAAAACACTTCGTAGAATGTGTCTATATCAATAATTTTATATATGATTTTAAAAATATATGACATATTTATCTCACATTCTGGCATCAATAAGTTAATAAGTGACTCCTTTAATTTTTACAGTAGATAAAAGAAAAATATGAGCCAATTTTGTAGGATAACCTAGCAGTGCTGTTAAGTCACAATTATTTGAATACTTTGTTCAGAACTAGTGAATTTAGAAAGTTTGGCTATGTATTTAATTCATGTTTCTGTTTTAAAATTTATATATTTTTATTGAAAAATGCATATGCCAAACTTAAAAGTACAAAGAAAAATGAAACAAAACCCAACAGTTGTACAGCATGATAAAATTATTGGTAATATTTTGTTTTCTTCTACATGCATACAAGCAAAATTTCTTAAGAAAAATGGAATGCTTGTATACACAGTTTTGTACCCTTTTTGCTAAAAACAAATTATGAGTAATACTTATCATCACTAAATATTTTTCTAAACATGACATAGTTTGTGTTATATAAACCATGATTTATTTAACCAACTCTTATTTCCAACTCTGGCCAATAAACAGTTCTTCAGAACACCATTAAAGATAAATTTTATATTCATTGTTTATTATTTGATCACAATAAATTTCTGGAAGTTAAATGGCTAAAATTAAATATAGGAACATTTTTTACATTCGTCCCATATACTGAGACTTTCAGTTATTGTACCTAGGAGTGCCTGAGACCAGCGGTGTTAAGCTAACATTGGCAATGCATTTTTAATGACCTTACAAATGTTTAATGATCTATTATGGTTTAAACCTCATACCTAAGATTCCTGATAATATTGAACAATTTCTTTTCACATGTTTGTTATTTGTATTTCTTCTTTGACAAAGTGTGTGTTCTGATCTTTGAAAGTTTCTTACAGTTAATAAAAATTTACAATATTAGATTTAAAAAGCAAAATATTGTTTTTGTTAAAATATTTAACAGGAATAACGGTAGTTTCTGAAATCTGTACCTCCCCAAATAATCTCCCCAAATACAAAACATTAATATGAATCTTAAAAAAAACCAGAAAACACTCTCAATGTACTGGACACAGAATCATCTCAAACTTAAAGTCACTTCTACGTAAGAAAAAATAATAAAAAGGAAGATTGTTTTCATGCTTCTTCCAAAAGCCTTCGCAGCGGGCACGGGGGCTTAAAAACAACTGCAGAGAAGAAAGAAGAACAAAGTTAGCATCAGGCTTGAGATTAATTTAAAATCACAGTCCTAAAGAGAAAAATCATCCTAAATGTGAAAATAATGAAAAGGTATTTGGATATTTCAAAGAAGTGACTGCAGCAGAGGAACCTTCAGGTAGGTTTAATTGGAGGGGCAGTCTTCAAAGTGCATTGCTTATGGGGTAGCAGCAAGCAAAAGCACTAAGGGAGAAGCACTCTTTGGGAGTCGATAAAGGTGAAGAAAAGAAGATGAAAGTTTCAAGTTCCACATGGTCAAAGAGAACAGAAGCCCCACCTTTACCACCACCAGCTGCAGCAGCAGCAGAAGTCCATTAATGAAACCATGCTTAACTGTATGGACAGAAGAGGGTGGTGTGGAACTAGGAATCTTATAAACCATCCACAAATCCATAAAATTAATTTTTAAAAATATGTTAATTTCAATAAAGCTACTACATTAAAATTAGTAGTCCAAAAACAATATCCAGTTTGCTCTTCAAACTCCCAAAAGAAACATGAAGCAGAATAAAATTTTAACCTAACATTTTAAACTATATGAACTATTCTTAGACAATTATTTGGGAGATATAAAAACATCTAGGCACTGTAAAACAAAAAGGAAAAAAAAAGGAAAAACCACAGTGAGAATGAAATGACAGTTGATTAAACACAGGAAGGAAATGGTGAAAACAAAGTTACATCAGAAAGAGAGAGAAAAGTAAAGTGCACCATGAAAAATAACCTAAACTGAAAATTTACCATGACCTACTGAATAAATGCAGAAAAATCCAATGAAAGTGAGAAAATCAAGAATTTAAGATAATTACGGAGAAAATGGTTGAAACAACATATGTATAATTAGGATCCACGAAGGCAAGAACCCCAAAGCTATAGAATATAACAAATATTTAAAATAATCTGAGAAAACCTTCCAAAAACAAAAGAAGCTATTAGTCTATATATTTAAAGATGTACTAGCTTAGTAGGAAAATTGACTCAGAAAGACCAACAACAATACATCCCAACGAAACTCTTAGATCTTTTTTTTTTTTTTTTTTTTAATTTTTTATTGGATTTTAGGTTTTGGGGTACATGAGCATAGCATGCAAGACAGTTGCGTAGGTACACACATGGCAGTGTGCTTTGCTTTCCTTTTCCCCTTCACCCACATTTGGCATTTCTCCCCAGGCTATCCTTTCCCACCTCCCCCTCCCACTGGCCCTCCACTTTTTCCCCCAATAGACCCCAGTGTTTAGTACTCCCCTTTCTGTGTCCATGTGTTCTCATTTTTCATCACCCACCTATGAGTGAGAATATGCGGTGTTTCATTTTCTGTTCTTGTGTCAGTTTGCTGAGGATGATGTTCTCCGGATTCATCCATGTCCCTACAAACGACACAAACTCATCATTTCTGATTGCTGCATAACATTCCATGGTGTATATGTGCCACATTTTTCCAATCCAGTCTATTATCAATGGGCATTTGGGTTGATTCCAGGTCTTAGCTATTGTAAACAGTGCTGCAATGAACATTCGTGAACATGTGTCCTTATAGTAGAACGATTTATCGTTCTACTATAAAAACTCTTAGATCTTAAGGAAAAAAGTCTTCAAAGCCTCCAGGTCAAAAGATCAAATAATTTACAAGGCATTATATTTGTAAGACAATAATGAAGCATAATTAAAATAAAAAGGAAAGAAAATGTAAAGCATTTTGGTGCCAGGAAAACTGGATTTTCACATGAAACATAATAAAACTGGATGCACATTTCACACCATATACAAAAGTTAAAATGAATGAAAGATCTAAATGGACAACCTGAAACCATAATGTCTAGAATAGAATGTAGAAGACAAAAACTTCTTGGCCTTGCCTTGGCAATATTTTTTAAAAATATTAATACCAAAAACTTATACTAGAAAACCAAAAATAAAAAAATAAAACTACATTGAATCAAAAAGCTTCTGTACAGCAAAGGAAACAATCAATAAAATAAAAAGTCACCCACCCTGTGGAAAAAAAAATAATTACAAACCACATACCTGTTAACGGATTAATATCCAAAATTTATAAAGAACTTCTACAACTCAATAGCAGGAAAACAACAATTTGTCATAAAACAGCTCAAAAAGTTAGTGAAGAACCTGAACAGACAAGTCTCCAAAGAAGACATAAAAATAGCTTTGGTGTATATGGAAAGGTGCTGAATATCATTAATCATGAGGAAAATTAAACCACATTAGATATTGTCACACCTGTAAGGATGACTTATCAAATACACAAAAGCTAAGAGCAACACCCCATATTGCTTTCATTTTAGTTGATGTAAAAAAATTTTTCAACAAAATTCATCACCATTTTATGATAATACACTAATCAAGTTTGGAAAGGAATAAATAAAACTATCTATTTGCAGATTACATGGTCTTATACATAAAAAATTATTTCAAAAATTAAAAAGCTTAAACTGGCAGGATACAAGATCAATATGCAAAAATTAATTTCAAACTAAAATTTAGAAATATTTTTAAATAGTATAAAGACAATAAATACTTATGTTTAAATTTAAGATAAGTGAGACTTGTATACTAAAAAGCTATAAAACATTGTAAAAGGAAACTGAAGAGGATCCATATACATGGAAGACACCCTATGCTACTGATTGCAAGACTTAGCATTGTTAATGTGGTAATATTCTCTAAGTTGATCTACAAATTTAATGTAATTGCTGTCAAAATTCTAACTGGCTTTTAACTAACTGTGCTATAATTCTAAAATTGATAGGAAAATACAAAGCATGCAGAATATTCAAAACAATATTTTAAAAATACATTTGAAATATTCAAAATTTTTGGTTTCAAAATTTGCTACAAAGCTTCAGTTATCATGCCAGGATGGAAAGGGCAAAAGAGACACATAAATGACTGGACATGTATATTTCTGAAATAATCCCTTACATTTATGGTTAATTGGTGCTCAAGAAGTGTGTTACCATTTTGGAAAATAGTTCAGCTTTGATGTTTTCTTAAAATGACAAACAGAGTTACAACACAATCCAGTAATTCCACTTCTAGGTATATATGCAAGAGAATTGGAAACATGTTTACAAAAACATATAAGTCTTATTGAACATAGCCAAAAGGCAAAAAACAAACTACATGTATATCAAATAGTAAACGGATAAATATAATATGTTGCAGTCACACAAGGGGATATTCATCTGAAGTGGACAGAAATGAAGGACGTATTCCTGCTACCACACAGATGAACCTTGCAAACAATATGCTGAGTGAAAAAAAGCCAGTCACAAATGATTGTGTGATTCTCTTTGTATAAAACGCCCTCAACAGGCAGATCTACAGAGACAGAAACTGCATTGCTTGTGGCAGTGCCTTGGCTGAGGGAGAAATGAGCAATGCATCTTCCTTAGGTGATTAAAAAGTTGTTACTGGTAAGGGTTGCACAACTCTGAACCTACTAAAAAACACACACAACACAGAAACCAACCTCTAACTTCACATTTTAAAATATATGCTTCTGCTGCCTCAGGCATGCACATACAAGTGTAGACCCCACTGCTACTGTTTAGCCCCCATTGCAGCATTGTTGCCAAAAGACTGGGAAGAGCTCAGCCCCTCCAGCACAGCAGGTGCTTAACCTCAAGTGAGGTGTAACCAGAGAGCAAAGCTGTGGTCCTGGTACTAGACCCCAGGGTGAGAGTATGCAGCTCAGGAGTGCTGAACTGCGCCTTGGCTCCCTGAATCTTCCAGAAATAAAGCCAATTGACTGAACCCAATTTACACTACAGTCAAACCCCCAAGAGCATCAAATAAGTTATAAGCAATAAACCCCATCTAAAGGACAGCAACTTCCAAGATGAAAGGAACATCAGCCCACACAGATGAGAAAGAATCAGCACAAGAACACTGGTAACTCTAAAAGCCAGTATCTGCTTACCTCCAAATGACTGGGCTGGCTTCCAGAAATGGTTCTTAATCAGGTTGAAATGGCTGAAATGACAGGCATAGAATTCAGAATATGGATAGAAACAGAAATCACAGAGATGCAGAGAAAGTCAAAACCCAATCCAAGAAATAAAAGTAATCCAAGAAAATAATACAAGAGCTAAAAGACAAAATAGCCATGTTAAGAAAGAACTACATTGCTATGACAGAGCTAAAAACCTCACTATAAAAGTTTCATAATATAAGCAGAAGTGTTAATAGCATAATAGATCAAGCTAAAAAAATTAAAGAATCTCAGTGCTCAAAGACCAGTTCTTCAAAGCAACTCAGACAAAAGTTTTAAAAATAAATTAAAAAGAATAAGCAAAATTTCTGAAAAAATGTGGTATTATGTAAAAGGACCAATGCTGTGACTCATGAAATCCTCAAAAGCAAGAGAATGAAAGAAAGCAACTTGGAAAACATATTTGAGGATATTGTCCGTAAAAATTTCCTCAACCTCAATACAGAGGTCGACATTAAAGAAATGCAGAGAACCCCTGTGAGACACCGTAGAAGACAACCAACCCGAAGACACAGAGTCATTAGATTCTCTAAGGTCAGCATGAAAGAAAAAAAATATTAGAAGCAGCTAGAAAGAAGGGGCAGGCAAAAAAACCTCTACAATGAGAATTACAAAACACTGCTGAAAGAAAACAGACAACACAGACGAATGGAAATAAATACCATGCTTAAGGATAGGAAGGATTAATACTGTTAAACTGGCCACACTGCCCAAAGTGGCTCACAGGTTTAAGGCTACTCCTATCAAACTGCTAATGACATTTTTCACAGAATTAGAAAAAAAGGATTCTAAAGTTCATATGCAACCAAAAAGAGCCCAAATAGTCAAACAATCCTAAGCAAAAAGAACAAAGCCAGAGGCGTCACATTACCTGACTTCAAACTATACTACAAGGCTATGGTAACTAAAACAGCATGGTATTGGTGTAAAAACAGACACATAGACCAATGCAACAGGTTAGAGAACCCAGAAATAAAGCTACACACCTACAACCATCTGATCTTCGACAAAATTAATTTTTAAAAAAGCAAGAGGGGAAATAACTCTTTATTCAATAAATGGTTATGAGATAACCAGCTAGCCATATGCAGAAAATTGAAACTGGACCTCTTCCTTTGACCATATACAAAAGTCAACTCCAGATTAATTAAAGAATTAAATATAAAACCTAAAACTATAAAAGCCCTGGAAGAAAACCTAGAAAATACTATTCTGCACATAAGCCCTGGCAAAGATTTCATGACAAAGTCACCAAAAGCAATTGCTACAAAACCAAAAATTGACAAATGAGACATAATTAAACTAGAATTTCTGCATAGCAGAAGAAACTATCAACAGAGTAAACAGATAACCTGCAGAATGTGAGAAAATGTTTGCAAACTCTGCATCTGACAGTGGTCTAATAGCCAGAATCTATAAGAAACGTACTAAGCAAAAAGCAACCCCTTTAATAAATGGCAAAGGACAGGAACAGACACTTCTGAAAAGACATAAACATGGCCAACAAGCACATCGAAAAGTGTTTGACAGCAATAATAAATACCCATCAAAACTACAGTGAGATACTATCACACACCACTCAGAATGGCTAATAATAAAAACTCAAAAAATAATAGATGCTAATGAGGCTGCAGAGAAAAGGGAATTCTTATGCAATGCCAGTGGGAATGTAAATTTGTTTAGCCACTGTGCAAATCAGTTTGTAGTTTTCTCAAAGAACTTAGAACTATCATTCAACCTAGTAATCCTATTATGTGGGATAAACTCAAAGGAATAGGAATCATTCTAACATAAAGATTCATGCATATGTATGTTCACTGCAGCACTATTCAGAGTAGTGAAGACATGGAATCAACCCAAATGCTCATCAATAGTGGATTGGTTAAAGGAAATGTGGAACATATATACCACAGAAGACCATACAGTCATAAAAAAAGAATGAAATCATGTTTTTTGCAGCAACGTGGATGCAGCTGGAGGCCATTACCCTAACCGAATTTACATAGAAACAGAAAACCAAATATTCCATCTTCTCACTTATAAATAGGAGCTAAATACTGAAAACACATGGACACGAATAAGGACACTGGGTCCTGCTTGAAGTGAAGGGAAAGGGCAGGCTGGAGGGTGGGAGGCAGGGAGGCTAGAGGGTGGGAGGCAGGGAGGCTAAGGCATGTCTAGTCACATAGGCTGCATGGATTTTATCTTGGTTTGTTATTTGCCATTAATCTTGTTTATTGTTTTTTGGCCATACAAAGTCTTTTTGCTCCTGTGAAAAAATATTTATTCACTTTATTCCTTGCAGCTTGTGGAAAGTATAAGATTATATATTTTTTCAAATAGGTAGTTCTATTTACATCACTTTTATCACATGCAGATTTCTATCTGAATTGTCTATTCTGTGTCTTGGGACCTGATTTTTTAAAATGGAGTTAATATTCCCAATATTGGTTATTTAAGAATCCACGTAATCCTACTGACCTCAGATAACACTTTCAGCACACGCTTCATGGATGCGATTTGGGGGACTACGTCGGGTAACTGTTTAAGTGAGAGGATTACTTGTTTGCTCCTCACCTAATCCTTGTTCCTGTTCTTCAGGCTCCGCTGCAGTGAATAGGTCACCTCTGCATTTCTCGGAGTTGAGCAGCAGAAACTCCTTATTTTAATGTTTTATTTTTAGCCAATCACAGCGATCCCTTTAGCCTCCCCTCCACTTTAATGTCACCCTCAGCAAGATCAGTATTTTCTTAAAGTAATAACACTGTCATGAAAACCCGCTATTTATTTCAGCCCGTGACTCACCTGTGAGTCTTTAGGCCACAATAACCTGCCAGCTTCTTTGCTGTTAAATTATTCACACATACTCATTATGTTGCCTTCTCCTCCTGATGCCCCTCCTGGCCCTGCTGGAGCCTAGAGCTGGTGCCTGCCCTGCTTGCATCCTTGCATGGCCTGTTTCTGTCTGCCCTCCTGCAGCAGGAGCTGAAGAAGCACCGAGAATCGCCACCATCCCTTGTTCACACCCCTGCAGCATTTTCCAGGAGACGCTGCGACCTCAGTGAAAGCAGGGAACAGTTTTTGAAGGAGGCTTTTCTCTTCAATTCTGCAGCTTATTTTTTCAGGATATGACTTCCCTGCATATAATGAACAATTTTATTTTCAACTAAAGGTTTTGTTCCATCATCAAACATTTTCACCATGAGTGAATGTAACAATCTGATTTTTTTTCAATGGAAAGAAAGTAATAGGGAATGAAATCTATGAAGCCAGAAGAGGTTTGGAATTTCAATGGAATCCAGGTGATTGATAAGCATGTTCCTTCATGTCAACCTCCCAGTTACAGAACTGGAAAAGCAGTGAGCAATTCCTTTTTTCTTTTTTAGATGGAGTTTCGCTCTTGTTACCCAGGCTGGAGTGCAATGGCGCTATCTCGGCTCACCGCAACCTCCGCCTCCTGGGTTCAGGCAATTCTCCTGCCTCAGCCTCCTGAGTAGCTGGGATTACAGGCACGTGCCACCGAGCCCAGCTAATTTTTTGTATTTTTAGTAGAGACGGGGTTTCACCATGTTGACCAGGATGGTCTCGATCTCTTGACCTCGTGATCCACCTGCCTCAGCCTCCCAAAGTGCTGGGATTACAGGCTTGAGCCACGGGTGCCCTATTTTACATACCTACATAGAGATGGAAACTGACTGCAGAAAAACGTTTTGGAAGGCTCACTTCAGCCTCTTTCTTGAGAATCCTGTTGATCAAGCATGCAGTCGCAAACACACACATCCTTCCGCCACGGTGAGATGACTGTGGCCTATGTCACAGCCCTAATCTGTCCTTTCTCTTGATGCCCACGCAGGTTGAGAAGCATCATTGCTGCTGCAGAGCGCAGAGTCAGTGAACTGAGGCTGAGCTTCCTTATTTCCTGTAGGATATCTCCTGTGACACTGTGCGCTGGAGAGAACCCAAGGTCAGTTAATCTCAGAGCTCCCTCTGCAATCCAGTCCTGCATGATCCTTTGAATAACGGCCTTCTGCTGCTTGCCAATGGATTCTCTATGCCTAGAACACGAGCTACCACTCCATAACCATCGTCTGTATCACTGGGGTAAGTTAAGTTCTCTGAAAGTTTCCTCATGTGTAGAACGACATGAGTAACAGCTAATGAGCTGCTTCAAAGATTCAGCGTCTTGGTATTCACAAGGGCCCTGCACATTGTCTGAGACGTGAGTCCCACATGCCACCCTGACGGCACCTCCCTCCTCACTTCAGTTTCCCCAGGGGAAATAACCAGGAGGGCCTGCAGGTAAACACGAGAGCTTTGAAATGTGCTACAGCCTCTGCAGCAGAGGAAGCTGGACCTCCAGGCTTCTGTGAGAGCCGCGGGTGGGTGTGGTGCTGTGGGGTCTGTCCACAGGTCCTGCTGGCTTCTCCCTGGCATCAGAAGTGCCTGTTACCTCTTGTCCAGACATTGTGAGACAGCTGAGCTGGAACATGAAGTATCACAAGTCCAGAGCTCAGGAGAGGCCTTCAGAGTCAAGACGAAAGCTTGGGATCATTTGTCTACAGATGACAGTAAGGACTGTGGAGCTGAGTGACGCCAGCCAGCAGGAGAGGCCATGGCGGGAAGTCCCTGCCCTGCCTGCTGAACAGGTTCCGGAGGGCGGCAGTGCTCCAGCCGCAGCGCTTCCCCGTCTAGGCTGTGTTCATCATCTTTCGCTTTCTTGTGATATTGTTCCTTTACTGCAATTGTGTTTTCTCTTCCTCGGCTGCCGGCACATGCATTACCACAGAGGCAGTGACATTTCCCTCGCTGTGCGCATGGCGGGGATGGACTCATGGCAGGGGCCATGAGCATGTGCTTGGCGGATTCCTGACGCAGAGCCCGAGCCCGGAGGGCATGTTCCTGTCCCTGCCCCTTGGAGCCGCAGCTCACGCCAAGTCCCTCACACCCCTCTCTGGGTTCTCACTTTGTGCTGCCTCAGCTGCTCAGGGTACTTTGCCTCAAGCCATATCAAAAGCTAGTTTGAAAAACAAGAAGTCCTATCCAAGTGCTAACAGAATAAGGCTAGTTTTTCATTTTAATAGGTGCCTTCGAAAGACACCTATCTTATCTTTGCTGTTTATCACACATATCTAGCACTAATGTCAGTGATTTCTGTGTGGATGGGCAAGAGGCTATGAAATTCGAGGCAGTTGCTTTCCTTGATGCTGCTGCCCAGCACGGCAATGCACTTGACACCGTGCAGTTACTCAGCTGGCCTACGTTCCTGGAAGCTTCCTGTGGCTGGAAAAGGCTCCTGAGGTTACAACAGGGTGGTGCTCTGTGCTGGGAAGATGTCCCAAAAGCATTTTCTGGAAACTAATATCTGCTGTGGTCCTATTTTTAAAAGCAGAAATGGCTCTTTGGAGAGAACAACATAGAGTGTGTGAGTGCGTTTGTGCCATCAGTGGTGGCAGCTCCACTGCAGCATCAGCTCTAAAGAATGCCCGACCCCAGGGCTCCTGCCATAGCTAGGATGTGAGAAAGGCATGAAAGCAGACACCTTCACAGGGAGAGTGTCCCAGTACACAGGGAGTGACACCTGTGCACAGGAGACACCTTCACAGGGCACGAGTCCAAGTACACAGGGAGTGACACCTGTGCACAGGAGACACCTTCACAGGGAGAGTGTCCCAGTACACAGGGAGTGACAGCCGGACACGGGAGACACCTTCACAGGGAGCGTGTCCGACTACACAGGGAGTGACAGCCGGGCACAGGAGACACCTTCACAGGGAGAGTGTCCCAGTACACAGGGAGTGACAGCCAGACACGGGAGACACCTTCACAGGGAGCGTGTCTGAATACACAGGGAGTGACAGCCAGGCACGGGAGACACCTAATATTTGCCCCAACCTAATATTTAATATGCATATTACACTGAATAATAACATATTAAGTACATATACACGTGGCAGATATATAACTGTGTATTATTTTCTATGTGTATAGTGAAAACATAAAGAAGTAACGATGTATCAGGTCTCCATATGCAAGCCTGAAGCCTGAAGCCTGAAAGTCTGAAGTCCTGCTTGCCTCCGCTGATGCCTCCCACCCCCGCCTTCCTTCCCCATTGTCCGTGATCGCCCTGCGGGAGCCTCCCCAGACGAGCCCCTCACCCAGCCCTGCCATCTTAACTGTTCTTGTGATAATGTAAGTAAGTTCCTCTCACCCAGCCCTGCCATAACTGAACTTGTGCTCATGTATACTCCTTGCTCCACCCCCCACCACAGTAACTGAACTGACTCCGCAGCACCCCTGCCCCCCAAAAGCTACCCAAACTGTTGTGGTGAGCAGTCCCTTTTTTCTGCTTTCCCATCCTTCTGTCTTGTCCTTTCCACTTCCCCCCACTTTTGGTTTCATCCTTTTTCCACTGCAAAGACAAGGAAAATCAGGTAAACTAGGTTCTTCCGTGAGGTTCATGACTGGAAAATCCTATGTAGGTCAGGGATCCAGACACTCAGTTTTCCCAGGAGTTTGACTATCGTGGACACGTTCACCCTAGTCGCCCGCCCACCAGGCTCATGGCTGATATTGGTGGCAGGTCAATGTAGAGGACGCTCTCTTTGACCGCTCACCAATGACGAGGTTCAACCCAGGCTCACCGAGGGACACCTGTTGAGCGGCTGGGCTGCGTGCCCATTCTCCTTATCTCCGCTGCCTTTCCAGAACCTTGGGCAAACTCCTGTCCTCTCTCCCTCCCTCCTCTCCGCTGGCCTGTGTTCTAAAGAACCTCAAGCCTCCTCAACTGTCTCCTGACCTAAAACCCAAATGTCTCTTCTGTAACACTGCATGGCCACAATACAAGTTAGACAATGGCTCCAACTGGCCAAAAAAATGGCGCTTTCAACCTCTCTATTTTACAAAATTTAGACAATTTTCGTCACAACAAGGGCAAATGGTCTGAAATTCACTATGTCCAGGCACTTTTTTTACACACCAATCCCTCCCTAATCTCTACTCCTCTTCCCTTCCGTCTGCCCCTCCTTACTCTGCGCTCTGTGGGTAAGCCAGAGCATCCCCATCCTTGTCCATCGACCCTTTTTCCTCCCCACCTGTCTGAACCAGGCCCTCAACCAGGACCTAACCCCACCCCCAGAGCCTTCCTCTTCTTCCTCTGCCCACAACCCACCTCCTCATGCCCTTCCTGTCACCTCCCCACCTCAAACGCCGTCCGGCTTACAGTGTAGTCCTGCAGCTGACTCCTCTGCCTCTGCTCAACAATGCCCCCTTCCAGAGGTGGCTGGAGCCAAAGGCATAGTTAGGGTGCACATCCCTTTTCCTTTATCCAGCGTTTCCCAAACTGGCCGCTAGTTAGGCTCCTTTTCATCAAATCCTCCAATACTTCACCCACTCCAATAGTCCCACCTGGAGTAACTTAAATGTCACCCTTCCACTCTCACCCCTAAAAAATGCTTAATATGCATTTTATCACCCAGTCAACCCCAACATTACAAAAAGGTACAGAAATTAAAATCTGGCCCTCAAACCCCACAACAGGAATTAAGCTAGCTCACCTTCAAGGTGTTCGATAATAGGGAAAAATCTGCCTGGCGGTAGCACATCTCAGAACTGCAGATGCTGTCTCTTCCGTAAGACAAACCCCAGCCACATCACAGGCTCACAGAGACCTCAAAAGCTTCAGGCTGCAGCGCGACCAGCCACCCCTCCCGGAACTTCCTTCAAGTGTCGGAAACCTGGCCACTGGGCCAAGGAATGCCTGCAGCCCGGGACTTCTCCTGAGCCCTGCCCCGTCCGTGCGGGGCCCCACAGAAAGTCGACTGTCTGACTCACATCGCTGCTCCCAGGGCTCCTGAAGCTCCAACCCTCGACTTGGCGGCTGAAGACTGACGCTGCCCGAGCATCTAGGAAGCCCCCTAGACCATCACAGATGCCAAACTTCGGGTAGCTCTTACGTGGAGGGTAAGTCCATCCCTTTCTTAATCAGCACGGAGGCACCCACCCCACGCTGCCTTCTTTTCAAGGACCTGTCTCCTTGGCCTCCATAACTGTGGTGGGACTTGACGGTAGGGCCTCCAGGCCTCTCACAATTTCCCAGGTCTGGTGTCAATCAGGCCAGCACTCCCTTCCGCATTCTTTCCTAATCATCCCCACGTGTCCAGTTCCCCTGTTAGGCCGGGATATCCTAGCGAAATTGTCTGCCTCCTTCACGGTTCCTGGGCTACAGCCATGCCTCATTGCCACCCGCCTCCCCAAACCTGTACCTTCGTCAATAGCTCCCCTGTGTTCCCCAACCTTGACCCTAGGGTGTGAAATACCGCCTTCCCATCTGTTGCTACAAGTCAGTCACCCCTCCTCATCCCCTTAGAACCTGGCGACCCTTACCCTGCCCAGCCCTGTACCCCATCCCACACCAGGCTTTAAAAGGCATAAACCCTGTTATCACCTGTCTATTGCAACATGGCCTTTTAATTCACTCTCCTGCTTCTTCAGCATCTGTACTCAAAGGGGTATCATGTATCCTCTTCCGAAGCCCAAATTTCTTCCCCATCTGTTATAATCTTTCGCCAGCATACACGCGCTCCCCCTGCCAACCGTATCCAGTAAATTTCCCAAACCCCAACCCCCTCCGCCAAACAACAGCTTCTCTCCTTCCTGGGTGTGGTTTCTGCTTTCACCTGTGGATACCAGGTTTTGCTATTCCAACTAAGCCATTGTACAGACTCACTAAAGAAAACATCCAACCCTATTAATCCCAAATCCTTTCCTCACTCCTCCTTTCGCTCCTTAAAAACAGCTCTAAAAACTGTTCCCTCCCTGGCTCTCCCCAACCTGTCTCCACACTTTTTCATTATATGCTGCTAAGTCCAGGGCTGTGCAGTCAGGATTCTCACACAGGAGCCAGGCCCATGCCCTGTGGCCTTTTTTATCCAAACAACTTAACCTCCCAGCCCTGGGCTGGCCCTCGTGACCACGCGCAGCAGCAGCAGCTGCCCTGATGCTCTTAGAACCCCTCAGAATTGCAGTCCACGCCCCACTTACCCTCTGGCTCTCACCGCCTCCAAAGCGTTCTCTTTACACCTCACACACTTCCGTTCAGCCCCTCGCCTTCTCCAGCTTTATGCAGTCGCCCCTGCTCGTAAACCGCATCTCAGAAAGTCTGTCCCTACTGTTTCCTGACTGTGCCCACATTCCCTGCACTCATTGACTTTCACACGCTCTGCTTTTATTCAGTTGCTGATTTCCATGTTTCCTCCAGGCAACTACAGTGAACATTTCACTCTTCATCCAGCTCCCGTTCTCTGCTCAAACCCAAGCTTGTTAATAAAAGTGGTTGCTTATGATACCACAGGCTTCCTCATACACCATAGAAACAAAAATTCTCCCTCCACACACTTAACCTCTTCTAATACTGTCTTTCTCCTTCTCTTAAACCATTAATCTCTCAATTCCCACAAAATCATATACAAGCAAAAACCAGTCAATATGACAAATGCTCCTTCTAACAACCCACAACATTACCCCTTTCCCCCAAATCTCCCAGCAGTCTAAATTCTTTCCTATTTTTAGGTTTCCCCTGCCCCCAATCCCACTCCAAGAAGCCTTGAGAAACTTCGCCCCCACTCCCTAAAACCTGTGATCATCCCCTCTTCCCTCTATATACAGAAAGACAGGTATGTCACGTCTCCATATGCAAGCCTGGAGCCTGAAAGTCTGAAGTCCTGCTTCCCTGGACTGATGTCTCCCGCCCTTGCCTGTGTTTGCCATGGTCCCTGAGCGGCCGGTGGCGGAGCCTCCCCGGACACGCCCCTCACCCAGCCCTGCCATCTTAACCCTTCTTGTGACCATGTAAGTACCTCTCACCCAAGCCTGCCATTGTAACTGAACTTGTGGTTATGTATACTCCCTTGTCCCTACCCCCCACCACTGTAACTGAACTTACTCTGCAGCACCCCCACCCCCCAAAAAACTACTCAAACCTATAAAACCAACTCCTATCCCACTGCCCTTTGCTAATGCCCTTTTCGGCCTTAGCCCACCTGCACCCAGGTGAATAAACAGTCATGTTGCTCATACAAAGCCCATTTGGAAGTTCTCTTCATTCAAAGCACGAGTTTTTCAGCATGATGGAGAAAGAGGCCTTTGTCAGTGGGAGTACAGGCACTCCGTGCTGGGCATGGGGTTGGAGGAAACGCCCTTAATCCCTGTCAGTTCCTTTATTCTCTGACCTCTGGATCCTTCTGACGCCCAGCTAAATGCACATCTCTCCTTTCCTTGGCCCTCTTTCTAAATGTGCGTGTAGTCAGACCAGTTCTCAGGAACATGCGCTCAAAGTGACCCCTCTTCTTCTGCAGAATTTGGGGGTCTGTGCATAATACAGGCTCCCCTGCAGGACCCCCAGGAGCAAACTCGACTTCCTAGGCTCTCCACCCTTCTCCATCTGGCCAAAGGTCAAGAGTGAACCCCAAAAGAAGCTGTGGACCCTGTGTGATAGTGCATGCGCTTGGAGGCTCATCCACTGAACCACTGTTCACTTCAGCAGGGAAGAGGCTGGTAGCTGTCAGCCTGTGTGTAGGGGACATGTGGGAAACCTCCGTTTCTTTCTCTCAATTTTGCCCTGATTCTAAAACCCTGCTAAAAAAGTTAAGTCTTAAAGAAACAGGATGGAGACAAACTCATCAGATACAATACGTGAACTGTGAAACAATCCTAGATTCGGGGACAAAAGCAAGAAAAGAAATTCTCTCTGGGGCAATTACAGAGCTGAAAGTAGAGGCTGCCTACGAGATGGTGTTATTCATATTCAATCCGGGCTCATTTCTTAGGCGCGTGTGATCACAAATAGTGCTGAATTATAACGGTAAATAAAGGCACCTATGGAAGTGCCGCTCAGTGACAGCATTTCCACAGGGAGCCACAGTGCTGCTGCCAATTTTTCTTTTTTTTTATGATTTACATTGATATCAGATCAAACTCAAAGAAACTAGAGAAAGAAGTGACTAGCTCATCCCTAAGGCCCTAGCTAAAACAGCACTGTCTCCACTGATCTTTTGCCGAGACATAAATAATATCCCTTCAAGACCATCAACCTTGCAGGTGGCTCAGGAAGCATGCATTTCTCCTGTCGGCTAAAAAAAGATGCCACATGCCTTTGCCATCATAGAGTCAGTCTAGCAGTGGGACTTTTCCATAAGTAGAGCTAGGACATGGCCACTTCTTTAAGTAAATTATAAATCCTGGCCTTATATTTAACATATTTATATTTAATTTTTTAATGAGCAATATTTTTCATGTTTTAAATAATTTCTTGTTTTAGTAACAAGTGAAGAAGGGAGACCAAGTTTTTCGCCTTTTAGTACCTGCAGCTGACCGTGCATGTCTGGTACCTGAGGCCTCAGGAAATGCAGAGAATTTTGTTTAAAAGTAAACTTGCTGGTTTACTGGACTTACATTGTTATCTCTCTGTAAATGGAACAAGGCTCCAGCATGACAGAGTGGAAATCAGGTGAATTTAATACCACCAGTCAACAGCCAATATCCCTGAAGCTACCTTACCAACCTTGTACTTGCTATTTAGAGCAGCATACAGTCTCTTTCTAAGAAAATTTGAACAAGCAATTGAAAAATCATATCTATACTTAACATGAAACCAAAAAACTATGTTGGCTTTAAAAGACTGGACTGGATTAAAATTATCTACACGGAGGCTGTATTATGTATTTTAAATATTCTACTTATAAATTTCATTTCTATTTAACATCACACAAAAGAAACTTTATTTTGTAACTTTATGATATTTTCAAGAAAAATATTTTAGTTGATTTGATATTTTTTCATTCAGCACCACACAAATCCTCAGAGACAAAACCTTATAGGAAACATGGCCTTTCCATAACATGCACGTTCGTCTTCTCCCTTTCAAAATGGTCAGTTATCCCAGCTGCTTAGTTCCCTTTAAAGAGAATGAATTATTTATGCAGGTGGTTGCTGAAAATGAAACACCATTCAAAGTTTAAATTAAAGAATTACAAGACCTTGGGGAATTCCTATGCCCAAATGTCATGGGGTCATCTTCATTTTAAAGATGATGGCTTTTAATATTATCAATTTTATGACAGGATACAGAGCAAGGTTTCTGGGATGCTTCGGCAACTTCACCATGCCTCAGCAATTTTCTAAACTGACCAATGTTCGGCAAACTATTACTGAGATAAAAAGGTTTAGTCACCTAACATTACGAATTACAGCATCATGTTAATTTGCATAGTTTTCCTTCACATTAATTTTATTGTACGGCTTGCTCTTTAGAAACTCAAACTAGTTCAGTTTATCTACTGAGTTGCATTTTTGGGGGGTGGTTATCATTTTCCATGACATAAAGTTCATGCACTTCCAGACTGTTCACTCATGTATCAAGTTCCTGCTTGATGTCTGCACTTGGACATCTAATGGGGAGCTCAACAGGCTCAGAACTGAATGTCCAACTTCCCCACCCTCGGTGACTGCAGGCAGTGAAGACTCATTTCTCACCCATGGAAGCTGCGCAGCTGTCAGCAGAGGGCTCTGCTCCACGCAGTCACTCAGGGTCTTACTGCTGCACAGTCATTGGTGAGGCTTCTGAGGTCTCTGCATGGGGAAGAATGAAACAGGGAAGGTGCGCTGGCTTCCACCTGCTTCTGCCTGGAGATGATGTGACCAGAATAAGTCTTGGGATGGAGCCTGCAGTGAGAGAGGTGGGACACAGAGGTACTTGAATGCAGTGCCTTCGGGCACTCGCTCCAGGACCCTGAGTACCGTCTGCACCGTGAACCCTCCCCCAGCTGCTTATGCAAATGCGTTGAGTTAATAACTCATCTCTTTCTTCCTTTCTTTCTTACCCTAATCTAATTCCTCAGAAAATCCCAAGGGACCCACTTGCACACACAGAAAGCAGTTCCTGGGACTGCTGCTGCCAGACTGGCCTGAACTGTGCAGACGCCCCTTCTGACTGGGGCAGGTGCCACCTTCCTAGCCCAGCCCTGCTCACTTGAGAAGCCCGACAATCCTCTTTAAAAGGTGACAAATCCCATCACTTCCTTGCTTAAAATCCTGCGAGGCTTCCTGATTCACCCAGACGCTCTCAGGTAAGAGCTGTCCATGCACTCTTGAGTACTGCGAGGGTCTCAGGAGGTCCTACCAATCTACCATTCCCACCACTGCCCCCACTATCCTGTGTCCTCGGCCCACAGGCTCTTCCCTGTTCTTTAGCCATTGGAGAGACATCCCTGTCAGAGCCCCACCTGCTGTTCTCTTTGTATGAATTCCGTTGTCCCAGTGCCTGCCGCAGGCCTCCTTCCCAGACAGCAGGGTATCCACAAGACTTCCCTCCTTCCCAGACAGCAGGGTATCCACAAGACTTCCCTCCTTCCCGGACAGCAGGGTATCCACAAGACTTCCCTCCTTCCCAGACAGCAGGGTATCCACAAGACTTCCCTCCTTCCCTGACAGCAGGGTATCCACAAGACTGCCCTCCTTCCCGGACAGCAGGGTATCCACAAGGCTGCCCTCCTTCCCGGACAGCAGGGTATCCACAAGGCTGCCCTCCTTCCCGGACAGCAGGGTATCCACAAGGCTGCCCTCCTTCCCGGACAGCAGGGTATCCACAAGACTTACCTCCTTCCCGGACAGCAGGGTATCCACAAGACTTACCTCCTTCCCAGACAGCAGGGTATCCACAAGGCTGCCCTCCTTCCCGGACAGCAGGGTATCCACAAGGCTGCCCTCCTTCCCGGACAGCAGGGTATCCACAAGGCTGCCCTCCTTCCCGGACAGCAGGGTATCCACAAGACTTACCTCCTTCCCGGACAGCAGGGTATCCACAAGGCTGCCCTCCTTCCCGGACAGCAGGGTATCCACAAGGCTGCCCTCCTTCCCGGACAGCAGGGTATCCACAAGGCTGCCCTCCTTCCCGGACAGCAGGGTATCCACAAGACTTACCTCCTTCCCGGACAGCAGGGTATCCACAAGGCTGCCCTCCTTCCCGGACAGCAGGGTATCCACAAGACTTACCTCCTTCCCGGACAGCAGGGTATCCACAAGACTTACCTCCTTCCCGGACAGCAGGGTATCCACAAGACTTACCTCCTTCCCGGACAGCAGGGTATCCACAAGACTTACCTCCTTCCCGGACAGCAGGGTATCCACAAGACTTACCTCCTTCCCGGACAGCAGGGTATCCACAAGGCTGCCCTCCTTCCCGGACAGCAGGGTATCCACAAGGCTGCCCTCCTTCCCGGACAGCAGGGTATCCACAAGACTTCCCTCCTTCCCTGACAGCAGGGTATCCACAAGGCTGCCCTCCTTCCCGGACAGCAGGGTATCCACAAGGCTGCCCTCCTTCCCGGACAGCAGGGTATCCACAAGGCTGCCCTGAGATGCTGCCTGCATGGCCACAGGCACCACAGCCTTGTCAACAAAACCCAAAAACTAGGGCACCTGCTGTCTTCTGACATAACACAATTTACTTACAAATACCTGCTGGTGTTCAGCACTCATCCCACAGACTGTGAGCTCCCTGGGGCATGCGCTTGGGATGGTTTTGTTCAGTGATGACTCTCGAACGCTTGCAAATACAGTGCTCAACAAATAAATCCAGTATCTCAACTAACCAAAACTTTGCCAAATGAAAAAATGGCTTCCAGCAACCCCTTTGTGCCTATTCGACTCTGGCTGCCCCACAAAACAGAGACATGTCTGTATATCTGTGAGCTGATGCCAGAGACAGAAAGTGTATCTAAAAGCAGAACATCCTCAGTCCGTCCCATGCACATCGTGTATCTCGAGGAGTCTCTGAACCCAATTTATGCTAAAACTACGATGTCCTTCACCTCCTAGCCAGCTCTGCCCCAACCACCGCCGCACACTGACCAGCTCTTCCATGCTAAGAAGAGGCAAGCCTATTCAAAAACAGCTTCATTGAGCCTGGCTGGAGCGCAGTGTTGCTGCAGAAGCAATGTGCATTCCTACATCAGAGCTGTACACAGGATGCCTGGTGGCCATGGGCTTGGACCGAGCCTGCTCCTCTGCATATGGATGGCTGAGTGTCGGCAGGGTCCCATTTCTACATCAATGGATTAAGCATTTCCAAAAAATGCTTCAGAATATGAGAATGCAGCTGCATGTCACATAAGTTTCTTTCAAACACTTCATCCCCACAGAAGTTTCTGACTGTACCCCAGATGGTAGCATGTGACTTTCTTCTCCGTGGGGAGTCCTGCTGTCCAGGTGGGGCACTGGCTCTCCTGCTCTCCACCCCTGGGCTGGGATCACAGCAGAACAGGCTTCTAGGATGCATGTCCACAGCACCCCGTCCTTGCAGTAATGGCGAGGGGACAGCATGGCTCCCGGGAATCACCACACCCGGCTCACAGGGACATCCCTCCAGAATACAAACTCCAGGTTCCCACAAACAGCTACGACTGTGGCTTCAGGAAACATTACTTGTTCTGTACTCAGCTTCCTCATTTAAGAAAACACAACGAATCGTGATTTTTTCCTGTGCATGGCATGTGGTGAATAAATGCCTGTGCTTTCCTGACCCCTGTCCCCTTAGATGCAGACAGGTCTTCAGAGCCCACAGTGGCACTGCATGGTGTGGAGCAGGGCTGACTGAGTGATGCCACAAGAAACGACATTTTTCCTTGCTGGGGACACTGGGGTTATTGGATCAATTCCCATGTGGCTGATGTCTGATTTTCAGAAGAGAATGGTGTGTTCTGGCCACTTCAGGACCCGAGCAGGGGCCCACCAGACCTCAGCATCCTTCACAGCCGTCTTGCTGACCACACTGTCTGGGGAGGCCACTCCCACACTCTGATCACACCTGCCTTCTCCGGGGGTCACTGGTGCCCAGGGTGGGAACTGAAACCTGTCTTCGATTGCTGAGGATTCACTACACATTTGTAGTGTTCCCAGGAGGGGTGGGGAGGGTCCTGTGTTCCCAGGAGGAGGTGGGTAAGGTCTTGTGCTCCCAGGAGGAGGTGGGGAGGGTCCCTGTGCTCCCAGGAGGAGGTGGGGAGGGTCCCTGTGTTCCCAGAAGGAGGTGGGGAGGGTCCCTGTGTTCCCAGGAGGAGGTGGGTAAGGTCTTGTGCTCCCAGGAGGAGGTGGGGAGGGTCCCTGTGCTCCCAGGAGGAGGTGGGAAGGGTCCCTGTGCTCCCAGTAGGAGGTGGGGAGGGTCCCTGTGTTCCCAGAAGGAGGTGGGGAGGGTCCCTGTGTTCCCAGGAGGAGGTGGGGAGGGTCCCTGTGATCCCAGGAGGAGGTGGGGAGGGTCCCTGTGTTCCCAGAAGGAGGTGGGGAGGGTCCCTGTGATCCCAGGAGGAGGTGGGGAGGGTCCCTGTGTTCCCAGGAGGAGGTGGGGAGGGTCCCTGTGCTCCCAGTAGGAGGTGGGGAGGGTCCCTGTGTTCCCAGAAGGAGGTGGGGAGGGTCCCTGTGTTCCCAGGAGGAGGTGGGTAAGGTCTTGTGCTCCCAGGAGGAGGTGGGGAGGGTCCCTGTGCTCCCAGGAGGAGGTGGGAAGGGTCCCTGTGCTCCCAGTAGGAGGTGGGGAGGGTCCCTGTGTTCCCAGAAGGAGGTGGGGAGGGTCCCTGTGTTCCCAGGAGGAGGTGGGGAGGGTCCCTGTGATCCCAGGAGGAGGTGGGGAGAGTCCCTGTGCTCCCAGGAGGAGGTGGGGAGGGTCCCTGTGTTCCCAGGAGGAGGTGGGGAGGGTCCCTGTGTTCCCAGGAGGAGGTGGGGAGGGTCCCTGTGCTCCCAGTAGGAGGTGGGGAGGGTCCCTGTGTTCCCAGAAGGAGGTGGGTAAGGTCTTGTGCTCCCAGGAGGAGGTGGGGAGGGTCCCTGTGATCCCAGGAGGAGGTGGGGAGGGTCCCTGTGCTCCCAGGAGGAGGTGGGGAGGGTCCCTGTGTTCCCAGAAGGAGGTGGGGAGGGTCCCTGTGTTCCCAGGAGGTGGGGAGGGTCCCTGTGTTCCCAGGAGGAGGTGGGGAGGGTCCCTGTGTTCCCAGGAGGAGGTGGGGAGGGTCCCTGTGTTCCCAGGAGGAGGTGGGTAAGGTCTTGTGCTCCCAGGAGGAGGTGGGGAGGGTCCCTGTGTTCCCAGGAGGAGGTGGGGAGGGTCCTGTGTTCCCAGGAGGAGGTAGGGAGGGTCCCTGTGTTCCCAGGAGGAGGTGGGTAAGGTCTTGTGCTCCCAGGAGGAGGTGGGGAGGGTCCCTGTGTTCCCAGGAGGAGGTAGGGAGGGTCCCTGTGTTCCCAGGAGGAGGTGGGTAAGGTCTTGTGCTCCCAGGAGGAGGTGGGGAGGGTCCCTGTGTTCCCAGGAGGAGGTGGGGAGGGTCCCTGTGTTCCCAGGAGGAGGTGGGGAGGGTCCCTGTGTTCCCAGGAGGAGGTGGGTAAGGTCTTGTGCTCCCAGGAGGAGGTGGGGAGGGTCCCTGTGTTCCCAGGAGGAGGTGGGGAGGGTCCTGTGTTCCCAGGAGGAGGTAGGGAGGGTCCCTGTGTTCCCAGGAGGAGGTGGGTAAGGTCTTGTGCTCCCAGGAGGAGGTGGGGAGGGTCCCTGTGTTCCCAGGAGGAGGTGGGGAGGGTCCCTGTGTTCCCAGGAGGAGGTGGGGAGGGTCCCTGTGTTCCCAGGAGGAGGTGGGGAGGGTCCCTGTGTTCCCAGGAGGAGGTGGGTAAGGTCTTGTGCTCCCAGGAGGAGGTGGGGAGGGTCCCTGTGTTCCCAGGAGGAGGTGGGGAGGGTCTTGTGTTCCCAGAAGGAGGTGGGGAGGGTCCCTGTGTTCCCAGGAGGAGGTGGGTAAGGTCTTGTGCTCCCAGGAGGAGGTGGGGAGGGTCCCTGTGTTCCCAGGAGGAGGTGGGTAAGGTCCTGTGCTCCCAGAAGGAGGTGGGGAGGGTCCCTGTGTTCCCAGGAGGAGGTGGGGAGGGTTCCTGTGCTCCCAGGAGGAGGTGGGGAGGGTCCCTGTGTTCCCAGAAGGAGGTGGGGAGGGTCCCTGTGTTCCCAGGAGGAGGTGGGGAGGGTCCCTGTGCTCCCAGGAGGAGGTGGGGAGGGTCCCTGTGTTCCCAGGAGGAGGTGGGGAGGGTCCTGTGTTCCCAGGAGGAGGTGGGGAGGGTCCCTGTGTTCCCAGGAGGAGGTGGGGAGGGTCCCTGTGTTCCCAGGAGGAGGTGGGTAAGGTCTTGTGCTCCCAGGAGGAGGTGGGGAGGGTCCCTGTGTTCCCAGGAGGAGGTGGGGAGGGTCCCTGTGATCCCAGGAGGAGGTGGGGAGAGTCCCTGTGCTCCCAGGAGGAGGTGGGGAGGGTCCCTGTGTTCCCAGGAGGAGGTGGGGAGGGTCCCTGTGTTCCCAGGAGGAGGTGGGGAGGGTCCCTGTGTTCCCAGGAGGAGGTGGGGAGGGTCCTGTGTTCCCAGGAGGAGGTAGGGAGGGTCCCTGTGTTCCCAGGAGGAGGTGGGTAAGGTCTTGTGCTCCCAGGAGGAGGTGGGGAGGGTCCCTGTGTTCCCAGGAGGAGGTGGGGAGGGTCCCTGTGATCCCAGGAGGAGGTGGGGAGAGTCCCTGTGCTCCCAGGAGGAGGTGGGGAGGGTCCCTGTGTTCCCAGGAGGAGGTGGGGAGGGTCCCTGTGTTCCCAGGAGGAGGTGGGGAGAGTCCCTGTGCTCCCAGGAGGAGGTGGGGAGGGTCCCTGTGTTCCCAGGAGGAGGTGGGGAGAGTCCCTGTGCTCCCAGGAGGAGGTGGGAAGGGTCCTGTGCTCCCAGGAGGAGGTGGGGAGGGTCCCTGTGTTCCCAGGAGGAGGTGGGTAAGGTCTTGTGCTCCCAGGAGGAGGTGGGGAGGGTCTCTGTAGTTCCAGTAGGATGTGAGGAAGGTCCTGGGAGAGCTGAGGCAAGTGCTGTCTTATCCTGACTTTCACACAGGTGAGCAAGTGGTCCAAGTGTACGGACATGGCAGCCGGAATGTCCAGAATTTTACTCCACTTGTCCTGTGCCAAATCCTGTTCATTTTGGTTAACTGACCTGGACCCCTGACCCCCTGGTGTATAAGGTGTGAGGCCTCTTGAGGGTGCAGCACCTGGTTCTTAATATGTATTATAATGACCCCTGTTTTCTATTCGTTCCTGATAAAGCATTTTAGTTCAGTGGCGACCTGAAGCTCCCTGAGCCGCTGTTTTCCATCTGGCTCCTGAATTGTTTAATTTGTGCTTCACAGAGAGGAGCTTTATTCTCATTTGACAAGTTAGGTTTTAAAAGACCTAATAACTTTTTTAAAATCTGGTAAGGAATAGAACTTTGTTTGTGACCCTGGTTCAAATATTTTGGTGACACAGGACACAGGACATGGTGGCTGAGTGTGTGGTGAGGGGAAAAGCGGCTTCTTAAGGCAGCTTCCTGTGTGGTCACGACATGCCACCCCATGGGACTTGCCTCCACCCGCAGCGCCAGCATCTAATCTCTTTAAGTCACAAAAAGTTGTGTTGTTTCTCTGATGGCTCTAATACTTTACGTATTTTTCCAAATCCTGGTGAGACATTTAAAATTTTAAAATACAATGCTAAAGACAAATGATGTATGTTACACTTTAGTATAGGTTTTCATTCATGAAACAAGAAAAAAGGAACACTTAACATTTTTCTCCATCATGGGAAACATTTAAATGCTTTGTATTATTAGGAATGCAGCCTTCAGACTCATCTTTTTAGGAAGACAGTTGCTTTTACAATTCATGTTTTTTAGGTTTGCCCTCATCCTGTTCTGATCTGGGGTCCTCTCTGCTCTGCCTGGGCTGTCACCATGTCCTGGGGGCGGCGTGGGCCTGCTCTGCAGGGCGTGGAGACTGGGCACTTCTTTTTGGGGGATAGCGTGGGCCGGCTCCCCAGTTCCCGGTGACAGGGCGTTGCCTCCTGCCCTGCCTCTCCAGGCTCCAGTGGTTTTGTTTCCTTAGACTCTTGCTTCATGTAAGTCTTGGTGGTGTCTGCTTTGTTTATAAGCACCTGAATTTGAAGAGTCAATAATAGTTCACCTATTAAAATGTAAACTCTCAGGGGTATCTATTATTTAGGAAAGTGAGGTCAAGCCTCCCCTTCAAAAATACTATCTCAAAGATACTTTTTAAGCCAAATTTCTGAAAAGAATTTCCATTAACAGAAAATCTAGAGTCCTATTTTTGAAAGTCATATTTTTAGGCTAAAAGTTCCACAATATCTCAGCAATGCACTTTTCCTCAAAATCATTTCCACAGTCGCTCTCTCTCACACACATGCACACTTACCAGCTACCAGTGGGTTCACTGACTCAAGGCCTCTCCTCCCCACTTGATGGTGTTCTGAAGGGCAGCACGTTCCATGTTTTGGCATCTACCCTACACCTAACACAAGGACGGCTGAAAACACTTGTTGAATACATGAAATGAACAAAATAGGAATGGTCACGTTCTCATGTTCATGCCCATTTTCAAAAGTGGACTTACAAAAAGTGGCAGCATTTTCCAGCCATGGTGAGCCTGTCAGGTTCCCACCAGGCACTGGGGCTTCCTGTGCATTTTGAGATTCTGGGCAATCTTCTGGAACCTTTTAGGAAACAGCTGCGCTTGCTACTACCCTTGGATAAATCCATGCCATTTCCCCGTGGTTTTGGTGTAAATGGCTGTGGGGACGACTGACGTTCATACATGAGCAGACCTTGACTCTGGGTAGTTAGATTTGCAGAACGCCCCCCACAGCCCAGGGACGGACCTGCCGGGTTCCCAGGCGCATGCGTCATAGAGACTCAGTCACCTGCACGTTTACACCACTGAAGACTGTTTTGGCTGCAGGTAAGCGCACCCTCAGTCCTTACTTCAATGACAAAAAGTGTTCAAGATAGAGGGACCGGCTGGCATTCAGGAAGAACCAGAACCCCGCTGTCCTGACCATGGGGCCCCCGGCGTCCCTCCTGGACTGTCTGAAGACATAGCGGTCTCGGTTTCTTCCTGGTCATGTGGGAGGACGTAGAGCCCTCTGCATCTCTTGGTTGTTTTCTGAGAAAATGGGTCTGTGGCATCCTCTGGGTCACTGTCTGAGGACACGGAGCCCCGGGCGCCTCTGCTGCTTCCTGCAGGAGGTCAATCAGCTCCAAGCACCGCTCTGTGCGTGAACGTCTGAGAGCTTCAACGCTCCTGTTGGAGTCGATTATCCCAGACTTAATGGCTTGGACGTACAAAGTGTACAGACAAATCGGGACGGTGAGGTCCAGGATAAACAGCAATCTATCCACCCCCTTGTGCAAAACCCTGATCTGATTCCTCCTCTGCGTGACTCTAGTCACCTAGCACCTCACCTCGCTGTTCTCCAGCCTCCTGGTGCAATCTGCTGGGGCCACCTCTCACCTTTCCGGACCCTTCCTCTCCTGTTGGCAGCACCCTCCTTCGGTCAGAAACAGCTTTTCCCACCTCACTCCTCAGTCTGCTCTTCACACAGATACCATGAATACCACAGTGGCCTCGTGAAGACAAAGGCAGTATCACATTCACCCAGATTCCTGTGGGGCTCCCCATTAAATGCAAATTACACCAGGGCGCCTTGGCTGGCACCTTCCCTCCTGTCCTTTCCCTTATCCTGGGTCATCTCCCCTGACTCCATGGCTGTGTCTTCCCTCCTGTCCATTCCCTTCTCCTGCGTCATCATCTCCCCCGACTCCATGGCTGTGTCTCCCTCCTGTCCATTCCCTTCTCCTGGGTCATCTCCCCCGACTCCATGGCTGTGTCTCCCTCCTGTCCATTCCCTTCTCCTGGGTCATCTCCCCCAACTCTATGGCTGTGTCTCCCCTCTTGCCAGTTCCCTTCTCCTGGGTCATCTCCCCCGACTAAATGGCTGTGTCTCCCCTCTTGCCAGGTCCCTTCTCCTGGGTCATCTCCCCCGACTAAATGGCTGTGTCTCCCCTCTTGCCAGGTCCCTTCTCATGGGTCATTTCCCCCGACTAAATGGCTGTGTCTCCCCTCCTGCCCTTTCTTTTCTCGTGGGTCATCGTCACCCCTTCCCCCACTGTCCTCACAGCTTCCCAGCTGTACTGGAGAGGGAGATTTCCTTCCATTTCCAGTGAAAGGTCTTTGCCATATTAAATCAGTAAAACAAGAAAAACTCCCACATCTCTTATCAGATTAGAGGGCACAGAAAGCATACATGTTACATGTGTGATGTGGACATTTCCCATGTCACAATTTCAGATGCAGAAACCCCAGCAAAGGGTGAGCACATGGCAGGGCATCTGCAGCATGGGCTTCACATTCTGGAAGGTTCCAGCTGATTCCCACCCTACCCTTCACTGGCTAAGTAAACTTACAGAAGTTACTTAACCCTTGACCTAGAAGAGCTTCGTCTCACCTGAAAAGAGAAAGTTGTGATTCTAAGGAAAGGAATCTTATAGGTCTTCTCAGAAGAGACAAGTCACTGGGTTGGGCTTAGTGGTTCCATCTGTGGCAAGGTATGAAAATCAAAATGAAATGCCACCAGGCAATAGCATGACATTCTGTCCCCATTCTTCTCTTTGCTCTATAGCCTTTTCCTTCAGAAACGGAACATTTCAGTGTTTTATATCCACGCAATTTCTGCCTTTGCCTTTTGGAGCCTGGGGAGCATGAGGAGACCGAGGAACATGACCTTCTTCAGAGGCAGTTACTCACGAGGCCATAGTGCAGAAAGGGCAAGAAATGTCAGTTATAAAATGTCCATGTGCATTTTAAATGAATGGTTATTAAAATCCTTCTTTTTCCATAAGGGATCTAAAAAATTAAACAATTTGTACTCACTTGTCAGGTAGCCTGAGTCGATGCCAGGAGAGGCCCCATGCTCCGTCTGGAGTCTCAGGTGCTCTCTGTGGTGAGGGTCTAGTTGCTTCAGGGGTTTGTGTAATGAACTCATCCTAATGCAAACAAAACACGAGTCCCTCGGAGTTGTTCAAAAAAATCAGGAAATAGGAAAAAATAAATAAATGAGAACAGAATATTGACAGGAGAGGAAAACAAAGAATTACTGGGAGATTTGAAGGAGGTGAAATGGGCAAAGGGTAAATTTAGCAATTACATTTAAAGTCAGTAGAGAATTAAATGGAATAATCTATTCTTATGCCCAATTTGGGTTTTAAAGTTTTGATTAGTATTCACTCAACATTAATTTCTAACAAAATAGAATATTTTCTTATTGTGTGTTTTCACCACTGAGCTCGTAATATATATCCACTAGGAATTGTAGGAGATCATAACCCCTCCAAGGGAGACCATAGAATAAACTAATTTTTGAACGGTCACGTTTTCTTCAATGAGCTCTTATTTTCAAGTTTGAAAAGTTTTACAAATACAGAAAAGTAGAGCCCGTTTTACAAATACAGAATAATAGAGCCCATTGCCAGGACTCAGATTTAGAAAAATAGGTTTAATCTGTTGTTATACCCTATTTGTGTTACACATTTGATTTATCTTTATAAAATGAAATCTAGTATTTATAAAATGTTGATTGAAAGGGTTAGGAGTAAAGTTTAACCTCATGTTTATTTCCCCAAATCTACATTAACAGGTCAGGACAACTATGGATGGGAAGGCTCCTTCCCATCCTTCCCCATGAGGTCCCAAAGGTATTTGTCTCCATTAGGAAACTGAGGGACAGCATTTTCCATCCAGGACTGGGGGGTGTCCTTCTCCATACAGGTTTTGGGGGCATCCTTCTTTATCCAGGACTGGGGGTATCCTCTATCCAGGACTGGGGGTGTCCTTCTCTATCCAGGACTAGGGGTTTCCTTCTCTATCCAGGACTGGGGGGTGTCCTTCTCCATACAGGTTTTGGGGGCATCCTTCTTTATCCAGGACTGGGGGTATCCTCTATCCAGGACTGAGGGAGTCCTTCTCTATCCAGGACTGGGGGTGTCCTCTATCCAGGACTGGGGGTTTCCTTCTCTATCCAGGACTGGGGGTGTCTTTCTCTATCCAGGACTGGGGGTGCCCTCTATCCAGGACTGGGGGTGTCCTTCTCTACCCAGGACTGGGGGTTTCCTTCTCTATCCAGGACTGGGGGTTTCCTTCTCTATCCAGGACTGGGGGTTTCCTTCTCTATCCAGGACTGGGGGTTTCCTTCCCCATCCATGACCTGAGGGCCACCCTTACTTGGGACAGCACCCTTTCCTGTGCCATCCTACAGAATGCCAGGCTGTCATATATTGTGGATTGAACTCTAGCATTTTATCTTTATTCTAAGTGAATTCCTTCACATTTATAACATTTATAGTGATTTACCATTTAATCACTGTGCCATTTCCCCCAAAATATAATATGTGGGTTTTTTTCTTTTCTTTTCTTTTTTGAGAGGGAGTCTCCCTCTGTCACCCAGGCTGGAGTGCAGTGGCACAATCTTGGTTCACTGCAACCTCTGCCTCCCAGGTTCAAGCAATTCTCCTGCCTCAGCCTCCCAAGTAGCTCTGACTACAGGCACCTGCTGCCACGCCTGGCTAATTTTTGTATTTTTAGTGCAGACAGGGTTTCACCATGTTGGCCAGGCTGGTCTCAAACTCCCGACCTCAGGTGATCCGCCCGCCTCGGCCTCCCAAAGTACTGGAATTATAGACATGAGCCACTGTGCCCAGCCAGGTTTGATTTTTGTTTTGACTTCTATTAATTGTTTGGTCCCCACGTCTTTTTTTTTTTTTGTAATTTTGTTTTCAACTTAATACAGATCCTATTTGGTAAGTATCACCTGTACTAGAAAATAATGTGTATTCAGTATGTGTTGTGGCTTTTAAACCTTTAATAAACCCTAACGTTTCTGTCTATTTTCCATTTAAATTGAGAAGTACGGATCCCAGCGTTCCTCTCTGGATCTGCTCCTCTCGTCAGTCTGCCTGTATGTCCTGGAGGTGAGGCCAGCACTGAACTTCATCACCTCCTTGGTCCTATGGCTCACGTGCAGTGTCCATCCTGCTGTTTATTATTTCTTCCTTAAATTTTATTTGAGCTAAGATTAATTTTGCCATAGAAACTTTCTTTCTGTGAATACTTAGTGGTTTCATTTCCTTATTTTTTTGCCCTTGATTTGTAAGTTCTCCTTTGCTACTGATAATCTTGTATTCTAATATGTGAGGTTAACCTCTCTGTGTTTGGTAGGAAAAAGTGATATATTTGAACTTATTTCTATCATGTGATTTTGGATTTGCAAAACTTTATCCTTGATTGTGTTTTCCTTCCTCCAGATGTATTTCTGACATTTCCTTTCCCACTTCCTTCTGATGCTGGTTTTTAGGGTTTCCAGCCTATATACTTTTCCTTAGTGTCCCACATTTTTAAATATTTCTAAAGTATTAGCTCATCATTGCATTTGTGGTTTTCTCCCAGTGCTCTAGTTATAATCTCTTCTATCTGGTCATTTGACTGGTTTTTCTCTTAATTCCTGATATATAGTTATCAGAATTGTCAAACTGTGAATTTAAGCATTTATCCTTTAACTGTGATTATTTTTGCTTCACGTACTTTGTTATTTTATATCAGGTACATACGTGCTTATCATCATTAGGTTTCCTAAGCAAGTGGACTCATTCCTAGAAAACATCCTTCTCTGTCCCTGGTGATGCTGGTCCTTCTCACCATCTGTCTCACCTGCAATAGGTACACCTGTGCAGCTTCTTGATAACAAGCATTTTGTGGTGTACATTTGTTTGTCTTTTCAGTTTGAATCTATTTGCATCTTTGTCGCAAAAGAGTGTTTCTTTGTAAAAGCGTATATGGAGGCTTGCCTTTGCCCTGCTCGGACAGTCTCTCTCAGTGGCAGTGTTTAGTCCATGCACATCGGAGCTAGTGATGTGGCTGGGTTGAAGTCGACGTCTGAAACTCTTATTTCCTCTGTTCCGCCTTCCTGATCTTCTGGATTGTCATTGTTTTGTAAGGGTTTTTTGATGTTTATTTTAGTATGGATTATGTACCTTGTGTGTGTGTGTGTTTTAAACTATGACTCCTTATTTATTTTCAGGGAGTCATCTGGAAATTAAAATATAAATACTTAAAGTATTAGATTAAATAAATATAACACTTTATGCAACTATAAAATCCTTACCTCACCCTCCTCTCGGCTTTTGTGCCGTGTTGTCAGTGATTATTCTTCTGCATATGTTGTAGTTCCCAGATGATGTCATTAAAACAGTTCTTTCCCCTCCACCATTTACCATTTTTGGCACTCTTTAATCTTTGGTGTGAGCTAGAATTTCCAATTGTTATCATTTTTCTTTGTCCTGAACAACTTTATTTTGCATTTATTGTGATTTGGGTATGATGGCCACACATTCTCTCTCAGCCTTCATTTAAGTGAAAATGTACTTTTCTCAACTTCAGTTGTGAAGGCTACTTCAGCAGGTTTGGAATTCCAGGGAAACTTTCTACTTTCAACAGTGTGAGGTCTCTGCTCTGCAATGCTCTGGGCACCATCAGCTCTGATGAGGTGGCTGTAGCAGGAGAAGACCTAGACCCCGTGGGGCTGCCGTGTGGGCGGGGACACCCACTGTTCACCTGGGGTCTGTGCTGCTTCCAGAGCTGTGCCTCAGCCGGCTGAGTCCTGGGTGGCCAGGTTACACGTCAGCCATAGGCACAGCCACCTTGTGGGTGGACAGCCACGTCCAGCCCCAGGAGGAGGGCAGCCAGCACGGGCAACACAAGTTCCCCTCATCTGGAACCAGCAGAACCTCAGGCACTTGAGCCTCAGCCCCTCACAAGCAATGTCCTCAATGGGTGGCACTCCTTCATCTTGGAGGCACAGTGGGACCCCAGGCACAGTGACATCCCAGGCACAGTGGGACCCCAGGTACAGTGAGATCCCAGGCACAGTGGGACCCCAGGCACAGTGACATCCCAGGCACAGTGGGACCCCAGGCACAGTGACATCCCAGGCACAGTGGGACCCCAGGCACAGTGACATCCCAGGCACAGTGGGACCCCAGGCACAGTGACATCCCAGGCACAGTGGGACCCCAGGCACAGTGACATCCCAGGCACAGTGGGACCCCAGGCACAGTGGGACCCCAGGCACAGTGACATCCCAGGCACAGTGGGACCCCAGGCACAGTGAGTCCTAGGTCACACTGTGCATGGTTCCTGCGGGCTGCATGCACAGGGCTTGCTCGCTCTTCCTTGCTGGCTGAGCTTTTCTCAGCCCTATCCTTCCATGACTCCAACATGCCAGGCAGGCCACGTGTGTCGACTTCAGGCCTCAGACTTGGTTGTTAACACTCACCCTTTTCCTCACAGTCAGGACGGGAGGCTGCCCTTAGTGTCAGTGACTTGTCTCTGTCTGAGAGCTGGATTGCAAAGGCAGCAGCCCAGACAGGGCCGATTGAGACCAAAATGAGAAAGAAAAGCTCTTGCTGCCGCTCATCCTTCTGTTCTGCTGACATCCTTCTGTTCCGCTGGCTCCACCTGGGAATGGAGGACCTGCCTCAGAGCCCCTTTGAGGTTGGGATCTGTGAGCAAACCTAAAAACCAATCATCACAATAATCGCCACATCAGAGAAGACTGTTGCATCCCTGAATGCATTTAATCCCCAGTCCCCTGGCCACGAAGCAGATAAGCAGAGAGAGGGTTAGTTCCAGATCTCCCTCATTAAAAACATCTCATTTCTACCACGGTGACTTTCACCTGTACATGCAAGAGATGATTAATATAGTTTAAGAATGAACGCAGTCTCCTTTTTGGGTTTTTATTATCTCCTTTGTTTCCTTCATTCACTACCCTCCAAAAATTTTAAAGGTCAGAAAAAGGAAAGGTGGGAAGGAGGTGAAGGAGAGAGCAGACGTGTTATTTCCTCTGTGTGAAATCCTGCTGTTGCATCTGAGATTGTCCCTTGGTTTTTAATTAACATTCCTTATCTTCTTAAGAAATCTCCAAGCGTATAATCTACCCAACCTACACTGAATCTGGGGATACCTCTGGAGCTAAGGTCACACCACCTCCATCTGTAAATGCATTCTCAGCTGCGAGATTCTCTGGGGGGCAGCACCTGTGCCTGGAACAGCACGATATTTTTGTGTCAGAAACATGGGATGGAGTTTCCTTGAAGATACAGCTGCTGGAAACTCAGACTCCAACTCCAAGCCCAGCTCTATGTGCCATCCAGCATCAGGACCAACCAGGATGAGCTGGGGCTTGGCGCCACGTGGGGCTAGGAAGAATGGGAGCTGGGGGATGCAGGGCAGTCCCCTCAGTATTAACAAACCCCGTAGGAGAATTCTATTCAACCGTACCCCTCCTCATCCTGCACCTCCTTCTAGAGAACTGGGGTCTGGGTGCCCAGCTCACACCCAGGACACAGTGGAGGCGGAATATGTCCTCTTGGAGGCAGTGAAGAAGAGCCAGAGCCAGATGGGAGATCTGGTGCTTCTGGTTCAGTCATGCAGGGAACCAGCAGCAAAACCTGCTGCACCCTGGGTTCAGGCCACATTCGTGAGTCATAGCCGAGGCAAGGACAGCAGCCAAGTGTGAGCTGCTGGGGAAGCTGCAGGCTGAGGCTGTGTGTGAGAGGATGGATCAGCACCACTAGGCTGGTGGAGCAGGGCAGCTGCACAGGAATGCAGGACTCACCGGCATCAGGAAGGAGCCAACGCCGGGCAAAGGCAAGGGCATGCACCAGCCCTCTGGCTCTCTGCTGTGTCTTGTCTGTGTGTGTACACACTGTCCCACAAGCAGCTCTTCTTGCTCGTTTACTCTCAAAGCATTGGTGACTCTGGTACAATCCTTGGGTCTCACAGGGTTTAATTTTTTCAAGTAAGAAGGTAAATGGCTGCTTCTTTCTCCTCCTTGCTCTTGTAAAACAGTGTTCCTCCAACGTGAGCCTCCATGTTCTCCAGCCACTCATCGTCCAGGCACTGAGTGAGAACTGAGCAGCTCTTGGCAGGATCGCCCCGGCAATGGCAGCTCGTCCTTCTTATGACCCGTTTTCCAGATGAGGAAACCTGCCCAAGGCTGCTCTAGTGGAAGGGGGGCACTCAGCCCAGGCTCCACAAACCCAAACCCCGTGATGGCATAGATGATTGTTAATAAGAACCTTCAAGATAAAAGTTAGATAGAAAAACGTTCTAAGGAATTTCCTAGAGCCAAGTAAGTTTCTAATGAGACTTAATTCCACCCAACTCAATCCACATCTGCCACAGTCTACACCAAGCATGTCTGTGGGGTGCAGATAAACCCACGGGATTTGTGAACATGCTGTCATCCTGCAGTGGCCTTGCCTATCCTGACCAGGGAGCAGAAATATCAGTAGAGTTTCTGTAAAATCCACACAACTCCTACAGGGACAGCCAACTCCAGCCACCACTGGCGTGAAAAGATTGCATTCAGAATGTGCAAGAAAAGTCACCAGACCAGTACTGACCCCCGTTGGCGGTTCCCAAACACCTAGCACTCTCTTTCTGTTGCTAAAGACACTGAAGCCTGATGCCAAATTAAAAAGCATCAGTGAAAAACAGAAACTCAAGTCCTCAGATGAGATCTCTACCAATTAGCACGAAGTGTCACACAGACCGTAGAATTTCGATCACGACGGTCTGTGGGAAGTCGCTTCAGATGCATCTGACTGAGCTCTCCTTTCCTTATCTGTGGGGTTTCAGCTGCTCAAGGGGCCTGCCTCAGGCAGCTGCCCACTGAGACCTCTGCTGGAAGGGGAGCTCTGAGCGCTCGTCGCCAGGGCCCCTCAACACAAGAAGGCCCGTGTTTTCTAAAGATGTCCTTTCAAACAGCGCCGCACAGAACAGAATCAGCCTGTGAGGGACAAACTGTACCATTAAATCCCTGGCCAAGAGAAGACCTGCCGAGGTGATCTAAGCAGAGAGCAGACTCGAGGGTGAAGATGAAATCATCGCTGCTCTTAAAGAACCTGCAAGCTGGTTAGGAATTTAACTTATGCACTCAGGTACCGTTCAGTGATGGGCAGCGGGTGGCCGGGGCCCTGCGGGAGCTGCGGGGACCTCTTCTCAGGAAGATGAGTCAGTAGCTCATGGAGTGTAGCGTCGGGGCCGGGCTGGGAGGGCCCTGCGTCCGCCAGGGAGAGTCCAGGGTAGAGGCTGTAGCTGCCGCCCTGGGACACCAGCCCCCGTCTCCGGTGGAGTTTATGCTTCTCCGCTGTTTCTGTTTTTCACTGATGAAATGTAGGCGATGGGAGTCCCTACATGATGCAGATGATTGGAGAGGTACGTCCTCTGACGTTTTTAAAATGTGCAGCGCAGAGTCCAGTTTGTAAAAAGGACACGGGGAATTAGGTTTGGAGAAGGGATGCGTCAGGCTGAGCGGAGGCACGGGGTGGGCAGCGTCCCGCGCCCATTAAGGAGCCGGGCTCCACTCAGCGCCCGGGACAGCAGCAAAACGGAAAAGAAACCCGTAACCAGAGGGGTCGCGTGCTGAGCACTTTCAGGGAGCACATCTGGGACCAGCGTGCGGAGCCAGCAGGGTCCACGCGGACGGAGGCGAGGCGGACACTCACTCACGCGCCCGGCCTGGCCGCCGGGGACTGCCGTGGACGGGAAACGCGGCCCCTCCAGCCCACACGTGCTGCTGTTTACTGTGGCCAGAGGGATGTCAGCTCCTCCGCTCAGTCTCTGCCGGGCAACTGCGCATCTACTCCTCGGTGCTGGGGGTGCCTGGAACCGTCCCCCAGCGCCCAGCCACGTCTGAATGGAGCCGAGCCCCCCGTGAGGCTTAAGAGGGAAGACACGATCTGGGAACTCCCTGATGTGTCAGCACGGTCCCCCTGGTGACACGGTTCCCGGATGTTGGCGGCGCAGTTCCCGGATGATGGCGACAGGGTTCCCGGATGGTGGCGACAGGGTTCCCGGATGTTGGCGGCGCAGTTCCCGGATGGCGGCGGCACAGTTCCCGGATGTTGGCGGCGCAGTTCCCGGATGATGGCGACAGGGTTCCCGGATGGTGGCGGCACAGTTCCCGGATGTTGGCGGCGCAGTTCCCAGATGATGGCGACAGGGTTCCCGGATGTTGGCGGCGCAGTTCCCGGATGATGGCGACAGGGTTCCCGGATGGTGGCGGCGCAGTTCCC